AAAGCCGATGTGCTCCGTAGGCTGTATCAGTTGAAAGATTCCCTTTGACAGTGAGTGTCAGCCCTGTTATTTCTGTCGTTCCAAGCTTTCAGGGCATCTGGATAATTCAACACATTTCACTGCGCCTTCCTCCTCAGCATGAAGAAGGCCAGACAATAGATCTACTTCCTTCAGCAATCACAAGTCAGGAGACAGTTAAAAGAGAATCTCTCAGCTTAGCTGAGAACTACCAAGCTGAGGATAAACGTTATCTTTGAGGAGAGGGGAGAAAAAGAGAGAGAGAAGCTCTAAAAAATACCACTCTGCTCTCTTTCCACATAGGTCGTAGGCCATCACCAGGCTTTGGTTCAGTCACAGCGGAGAGAACATTAAGTTGATTAATTAAATTCAGTTTTTCTCACTGTCAATGAATATCTGTGACCCAGGGCTTTTACCTCTGAATCGTGACAATTTCAAATAGCACGCTTACTAGTGTAAAATGATTATATAATTGGATCGTCTTTAACACCATGATCTGCTTGCTTTGGAAGCAAATGGTGTGGTGACACGTTTTTGGACGTTGTGTTCCATACCATGACTATTTTCACGTAGAAATGTATAATGGAGCCAAGATGGACAAATTTAATCAGAAAAGTAATTGAAAAAAGTGATGTGTGTAAAACATTTTTGTTTTATAGCTTTTTCTTTGATTATAGTATTACAGTCTGCTAGCAATTTTATGGTTTGTAATACCAGAAGTTCCACTTCTAAGGTCACATAAACAGGAAAATCAAAGTGTTTCAAACAGAGTGTAAAAATACCTTTAACACTATTTAATCTTAATAGTGAATCACTTTAATGTCTACTGAGTCTATTCTCAAAGTAGGAGAATTAATTTGAGAAAAATTTTTCTACTGATGGAAGGCAGGCTCTTTTTGTATCTTCTCAATATTTGCATAAGTATTTTGTTTTAAAATATTTGACCTGTAAAACATAGTTTGTTAGTGAGAGGAAACAGTTTCAGCATACTACTGGGAAGCAAAGATCCACAGAACAGTGTAATTTTAAAGCACTGCATATTAACCAATTAGTTCCGTGTTGTGTTAGGACCAACATACTTCATCCGAATTCTGTAAGATGTAATTTCATTCTATTGTCATTTAATTATTCTTGCCATTCAAAATAAGACTAGCTCATCAATAAACCTGAGAAATGTTTGTAAATAATGAAGCACTTATTCTTTAAAAAAAAAATCAAAGTTAGCAAAGACCAGCTTATAGAGGTAAAGCTTACTAAGGGATGAAATTTAATAAAATGTGTATCTTAAACTTATTCACATTTCAGAAAGTCGATCCATCTCTTGCTGCCATTTGATCTTTGATCAGATGAGGTTGGGATAAATATATTTTTACTTTTTGCATTTTTAAACCAAATTGTATTAACTGTGAATGTTCAATTAGTGAAATTTTCTGCTTCTTACCAAGGGGTACACCTTTTGAAATTGATATTTAATTCACATTGACACTATTTAGTTGAAGATGTATTGTTTATGTTATTTACATGATTTATGTTGGTACATGCTATTGAAAAGAAATCACATTCAGAAGTTCATTGATGCCTCTTTTTCCCTTTTTTTTGCTGACATGTTTTCATAAACAAATTAAGGTTTGGTGAACAAAAAGATTCAAATTTCTTTTTTTAGGTTAATTTATCTTAATATTGTTGCCATTCAAAACAAGACTGATTCATTTTAAAAAAAATACGAAATGTCGGTAAATAGAAGAACACTTACTATTATTTTTTTTTTTTATAAGAACAAAGTTAGTGAAGACCAGTATCATCTGAATCTAATGAAATTACGGTTCCTGATCTAGGATCCAAGAGCAAAATAGCGTTTGAAATATTTTCTCCTTGGACCCTTCCCATTTTGTTCAGTGAGCGTTCTCATCTGCTGGCTTTGTTTTAGGCCTCATGGGCATGCACACTCACACATGAACACAGAACCACAGAAATGTAGCAGAACACATATTGTAGGAAGACGCCGAATTCCTGATCCCAGGCAAAACTAGAGCGTAAGAGGCCTTAACTGCAAATATAGTCCAAAGAAAATTAAAGTAGTAAATACACATAGAACAAAAGCTCTATTCTAGTTGTGCAAGGAACATAATACTCTTAAATTACTTTCTGGTTTCCATGGGGACCTTTTTGTTCTAAGATACCAATCATTAGGTTTAACAGAGCCACTTAATATTATTTCTAAATCAAGTGAGATGATTTCTCAACTGGGTAAAATGTCAATTACCGGTAGTATTTTTAAGGTGCTAAAATCCCAACTACTTGGGATCGGTGCTTTATGTGGGCACAATTAAATCTCGAGGTCAGTAGAGAGGGGCCCCTCCTCCCCTCTTCAGGCAGATAAAAGCTCAAAGTATCTCTCTTTTGGGGGGGATACTTTACAGGATAACCACTTTTTAAACTCATTATAATCTCAAAATAGTGGCAAGAATTTTAAATTGCAATGAGAATTCGTAGGCTCACAAAAGATAAGTTCTCCCTCCCTTGGACCAGTTTTGATACCTTTCTCACACATTCTTCTAGAACATCTGGGCTTCTGTGTAAGCATATGTTCTATATGATATCTATAGATACACACACACACACACGCACGTGCGCGCGCGCGCGCACACACACACACACACACACACACAGGCCAATCTGTTTGGGCGTAAATGATGTGCCTGGGGCTAGGAGTTGTGGCTCCTTTATTTTGCAGAATGCCTAAGTATTGTTTGTCTCACAATACTGGGAGCAGAGCAGGAGCCTGGTGGGAGCCTGGAGCCTTAAGCCCTGGGCTGTGGTCTGGGGGAGGGGACGGGGTTGCGGGGTCACAAGCTCTTAGCTTTTAGCCTCAGCATGACCACAAGTTTTAAAGCATGAAGGGATCACGTGCTTTTCTTGGAGCTGTTAGTTATTCTGACTTTTTGGGTGTGTGTGTGTGTGTGTGTGTGTGTGTGTGAAATGCTTTGTTCTTTAGCTTTTTTTGATTGTCTAGGTATTTTGGCTGATGATTACGTTTTTTTTTTCCAAAAGAAAAAAAGACAAAAATAAATTACTTCGTGTGTCAAAGTGTCCTCAGTTTTAAAATAACCAATATCTTGTACTTAATTTTACCTTGTGTTAGGCAGGTACTGAGATGGAATAAATTATTTTCGCCAGTTGGGAACTTGATCCAGACATTCTATATGTTGCAAGCCTTTAAAAAAAGTTAAGAACAAGAAAATATCCTGGTAAAGCAATCTCAAAATACCTTATTCCGGGTATTGTTCTGGCTTTAAAGGGAAGGAGGGGTGGGAGGAGGGGTAGGAGTTGGGGGGGGCGAGTAGGAAGACTCTGGGAGGATGTCTTGTTTAATGAACTGTTTAAAACTTTTGGGAAATTTTAAGCTAGTGAAGTCCCTCAATGTGGCATTTCCATCTGAAAGCCTCTACTTAAATATTTCACTTTGGGGGACCCACTTCTGCTTGTTCCCCTTTAAATGGGATGGTTTCATCTTTTCCAACTCTCTTCTGTCTCTCAAACCAAGACGCATAGAGTCGGAATGCCAAAATTAAGACTTTTGATGATAATGAGGTTTATTTGGGAACATTTTCCCAAATCAGGGTAATGGGTCTTTCTGTTCTGATCGCGAAGAGGCCGAGGATATGTTTACTCACTGACCGGGAGCTCTGGTTGCAGCTGCAGGACACAATTAATTATGCTAATAGTTTGTGAGGAGCGGATGTAACTCCCCCACCCCCCTTTTTTCGGGGGTGGGAGGGGAGTTTGGCAAAAGGGGAAGGAGACGCCCTGGGGTCGGATCACATGATATTATCTTCGCGCCACTTTCGCAAAAACCCTTTTTTTACTCCAGGTTTTGCTCGAGCTCAAAGGTACTGTTCTTATCTTGCTTTAATACAATGTTTCTTGAAGTCGGGCTTAAGCTCTCTTCCCTACCCCTCCTCTTCTTTCCACTGCTAGTGGTTACCATTAAAGGTCGAAAGTTGCATTGCAGTCGGTGCCATCACACAGGAGGGATCTGGTTGGGTGGTAAACTCCGGGCCGCGTAGTTTCCAGAAAGTATCAGACGCCCCAGGGTGGGCTGCAAGGTCTGTCTGCACGTTTTATGTAAAGGGGAGAAAGCCCACCTGTAGCGGTGACTTCTGCTGGAGAAATGAGTGTGGCTTGCGTGGCATCCCCCGCTGACTCCCCAGGGGCGCTGGCCGTGCAGGTTGGACTCCCTCGCGGGCCAGGGGCGGGAGAGGCCAGTCTTTTGTGATCCGCTTGCCTGAGCTACTACTGTGCACCAGGTTGAGAGTCACATGGCGCCCTTGTCCTCTTCTGAGCTTTGGGCTCCCACTGGCTCCCCCGGTAACAATAGCGGCGAGGGAGGGGTCCGCCTTCACTTGGCACCCCCGCTCCCTCCTTACCCCCCGCTGGCCTTCCAGCGCTTTCCTCCCCAGACCCCGCAGGCTCACTGCCCTCTCTGATTTGTAACTCGTCTCGCGCACTACCCCCCGCCCCCCCCCCAAACTCCCTCCCGCGCCCGTGTCTGCCTGGGACGTGGAGTAGGTATAGTCTGACTATTGCATTTTGCCCGGTGTTCAAAGTCTGGTAGGCACCATTCCATGCTGGATTGTGCTTCTGAAACTCAGACATCGTCTTACTTTTCACACAGAGTACTTGGGCTTTGGCCTTTAAGCAGTCCGCCCTCAATTGGTTCTCATTAGCCGCGGAGTGAGAAGAGAAAGCAAGATAATTGCACCGTATCTGCCTTGCATTTGTGCGTGTACTCGGCGGCAGCTACCGTTAGCGATGCCTGCCAAGAAACCCTGATTTAGTGGCTGAGCGCGGGGGGGGGGGGACGCCTGGCAAAGGCGAAACCCTCCGAACAGTAGCACAAGGTGCCAGAGGTTAAAACTTTCACATGTGCACAGGGTGGAAATGCTGTGTGTTTCTTTCCTCCTCGGGCCTTCGGAACACTTTCAGTCTAGCGGCGAGGCGGCGCGCATGCGCGCGCGCCGGGTTGGGGAGGACACCCGGGTCCCACGGCTCCGTGGGCCTCGTCGTCTTGTCTCCGGTGGGGGGATGGGGCGAGCGCGCCACCCTGGGCTCTGCGCCAGTGGCACCGGCTCCGGCCCGGCCGGCGGCCCAGGCGCGCCTTTAATTAAAGCCTGCAGCTTGGGGCAAAAGAGGGGAAAATGCCGGCTGCGCCCGGCCCGTGGGTAACTGCGACTCGGTGGGGTTTGCGCTGTGGCGGGGTGGGGGTTCCGTTTCCTAATTCCTGTGCGGCCGGGTGGGCGGGGGCGGGCTTTTTTCCCTGGGCTATTAAAGGCGGAGGGGCGGGCTTTTCCCAGGGATATAGCTTCGGACCGAGGGCCGAGGGGACGGAGCGCTCCTCAAGTGGTGGCCGCCGGGCCAGTGCCCCGCGCCGTCGGGACCGGGGTGGGGGGGTGGCGCTCGGGTGAGGCGTGAGCCCGCGGCCCCGAGGAGTCGCCGGGACGCGTCTCCCCGCTTCTCTTCCTCCTCGGGCTCGGCGGGAGGCAGCGCTCGCCCGGGTCCCCGGAGCGCTACGGGCGGCGTGTCGCGCGGGCGCCGGGAGCGGGCTGGCCGGCGCGGGGTCGCCGCGCGTGCCACCTGCGAGGGCCGGGAGCGGGCAGAAGCGGGGACCTTCGTGGGGGCCGCCGGGAGCGGGGAGGGGGGTTGACTGCTGGGTGGGAGGGGACGGGGGGGGAACGGAGCGGGCGGGACTTGAGAGCTGCAGAGGAGCAAGAGTGCAGTTGAGGGGTAGCGGGGAGCGCGCGGGAAGCGGGGGGGGCCCTCCTTTCTCCTCCGCCGCTGACCTTTAGGCTGCGGGGGGGGGACCTGGGGGGGCGCGGGCCGAGGGGGTGCACGTGGAGGGGTGAAAAGGACTCCCCTCCCCCTTGGCTTCTCTCCCACCAACCCGGGAATGGAGGGGGAGGGAGGCGTGGGCTTGGCGCGTTTTTGGTGCTTTGAATGGAGAACTCCGTTTCCCATGATGCTTTGTTTCTTTCTCTTTAATCCCGGCGGCGGCGGCCTCAGCACGAGGACGGGAGCGCGTGGTGCGAGCCGCTGGAGCACACCCTGCGCGCGGGCGCTCCGGGCCCTCAGCCGGGCACTAGGTGAGCGTGTGCGACACGCGGGAAGGGGCCCGGGGGTCCGCAGAGGCGCGTGTGGACGGCGTTGGGGGCTTTGCCTTCTCTTTACCATTCGAAGAGCTTTCAGTGGCCGCCCGGCGGGCGCGATGTATACCAGATGACCGGTTAATTCAGGAGCAGTAGTAAGTGTGCACGGCGCGCTCTCGGACCCTCGCGGGGCGCAGTTTTGCCAAGTGGACTCGGCAGATACTATGCATTAGGAGTCCACTGGGGAGTATTCTTTTTGTTTAACGGAGAAAAAAAGAACTTTGTGGGAGTAGAAACTCCATTTAATAGGAAAAAGGTCACTTCCCCCCCCCCCGTTAACTTGAATCTTCCTCCCCTATAGAAAATTGAGTTTAGATTTAAGTGTAATTGTAATGAATCAGCTGCGTTTTCATTTAAAGACCAGATTAGTGGCATATGGGGGTACCATGACGGCAGCCCGACATGTAAAATTCTCTCATTTAGGTAAACATACTACAGATTTTGGTCTAAAATTTGCCTTTTTTGACAAAACTTAAAACCCATCGTGGAAGAGGTTGGGGAGCCCTGTGAGCCCTTTTCAAATAGGGGCTCCCTTCCTCGCTGCATGTTCTTAGGTAAAATAAGCACTTGGAAATGGGAGAAGGTTTTCTTATGGACGATAATGACATGACGGAAAGAAGAGCTAATCGGCCTTCTTTGGGTTTAATGGAGAAAATGGGTCCATAAATGTTTAAACAGAACAAGAGCCCTTTGAAATAGATCAAAATGTGACATCTCTGGGCCATCTGTGCATTATGTGAAGGGCGCGCAAGGCTAGGTTTCTTAAACCAGCTCTAAAATTTCTCTCGTTTTTCTATTAATGGGGTGGGGGTGGGGCATATGCATTTAATCCCCCAGTCACATTTTGCATAGAGGCCCTACCTCAAGAAGCAGATACCCTGATTTTTACTCGCATCCTCCTCTGGATGCACCTCTTCTAAAATCAGGGTGGATCTAATGGGCCTGCAAATGTACTGGGATTCAGGTCTCAAGTTTTCTTAGATGGCGAGGGGAGGTCCCCAATCCGCTTATACTTACGAAGTGAACTTTCGAAACTGCCAGTGTTCCTTGTGTTCAACTCTGTGTAATAATTCAGATGATTGATATTTCTCAGGATTTGGCTGAAACTCTGAACAAAACTTAGCTTGGACTCTAAGCCAAAGGGAAGCTTGTTTCAGGAATATTAACTAGTTTACTCGGTCGGTGACTAATTTGTTGTTGTTGTTGTTTGTTTTTGTTTTCAACTAGGTGAGTCTGCACAGATCCCTGAGGACGGAAAAGACGAGCTCGGTGGCGGAAGACCCTTTTGCTCCAGGAATAGGCCTTGGCCATGTAAAAGTGCTTACAGTGCAGGTAGCTTTTTGAGATCTACTGCAATGCAAGCACTTCTTACATTACCATGGTGATTTAATCAATGGCTCCTGAGAACTCTAGTTTGTGCATAATGAAGTTGTGGATGCCTTTAAGCCGTTCCTCATAATGTGTCTCTTGTGTTAAGGTGCATCTAGTGCAGTTAGTGAAGCAGCTTAGAATCTACTGCCCTAAATGCTCCTTCTGGCACAGGCTGCCTAATGCTCAGCAGTACCACGTATGTCCTGAGTAATAATTTGAACAGGCCAAGCTTCAAAGGTTTGTTGTTCTGTGGTTCCATTGTTTGCTGGGAGCGGATGGTGGGGCCCGTGGGCAGTGTGCGGTTTCGTCACGGAGAAGATCGGGTCCTCGTAGTACCAAAGTGCTCATAGTGCAGGTAGTTTTGACTTTACTCTACTGTAGTGTGGGCACTTGCAGTACTCTGGGGCGACGAGTCTCTCGATGATGGAGAGAATGTTGAAAGACACTGCCACTTACGGTTAGTTTTGCAGGTTTGCATTTCAGCGTATATATGTATATATGGCTGTGCAAATCCATGCAAAACTGATTGTGATCATGTGTGCTGTCTCCGGCTTTGTGACTCTACACACGCATCTCCCGCATTCAGGCCCATTCATCCGTGGGTGGGGATTTGTGGCATTACTTGTGTTCTATGTAAAGTATTGCACTTGTCCCGGCCTGTGGAAGAAAGGAGGATTTTATCGTCTTCTTATTCCCACTTCAGATTGTAAAGGTTGTAAGTTTTGATATTTGGTAATTGCAAAATGACCTGTTTTGCTGTTGTCGGGTGGATCACGATGCAATTTTGATTAGTATAATAGGAGAAAAATTGCACGGTATCCATCTGTAAACCGCAGGACCTTTGTTGACGACAGTCTGTGTCAGTACTCAAGTAAGATGGTAAAATCCTTTCTCTAGTTACTACTATTAAGTTTTTTGGAATGTATCTAGGTTTTTTTTTTAAAGTTAATATTTTGAAATAAAATATTTGAAGTTATGTAGTGTGTGTTTTGTCAGTTTGGTGAATGATCAGATTGTTCCTGAATGTCACTGGGCCTCGAGTTTCCCAAATAAATGAAATTTTAAAGTCTGAAAAATTGGATTCTATTTTTTTTAAAGATTAACAATGCTAGGGGAAAAACACTCGTGGGGTGGGTGGGGGGCGGTGGGGGGGGTGGTGGTCCTAAAGGAAAAGTTAGGCATAGCTGCTTTTCATGTTGCATCTACAGAAAGCACCAAGACACCTAATTTGGGGAATTTGATTATGCTAACACATTTTAGACAACATGTGTTCCTTTTAAGTACATGTGCTTATCCATGTGAGGGGTTGCAAAGTTGTAAACCAGTGGGACGCCTGCCCCTCAGGAACTGGGCATGCCTGAGATCTGAGATGAGAGAAGCGTGAACTTGTCAAACACGGTTTGGGATTCTGATGAAAGCTTTGGGTGGAATGGCCCCTGGATGGAGAGATGCGGCCTTTGCTTCGGAGGCTAGTACGCGTTGGAAACCTGGATGTGGGCCTATTAGGTGTGAGGCTCAGGGGCTCTGTAGGGTGACTAAGCTCGAGCAGAAATTACTCACGCCCTGCTAGTTAGCTGGCTGAGACCTCACAAGGTAGGAAAAGTGGGTATTGACTAATAACACAAAGTGTTAGATGTAGGCAGACAGTTGTCACCCAGATAAGGCCGTTTGGATCCTCTAGTGGTTCTTAAACTCCAGCACTTGTTAAAACACAGCTGGCCGGTCCTTCAGAGGTTGATTCAGTAGGTCTGGGGTGGGGCCTGAGGATTTGCATTTCTAACCCAGGTGAGGCTACTCTTGGCCAGGAGACCACACTTGGAGAACGACTGCTTCAAAAGAATCTGAAGACCTCAGCTTCTAGGACAAATACAGTTAGCAAAGGAAGTTAACCTATTTTTAATTTCATGCTTAATCTTTGCTTCTCCACAGAAAGATGCTAGCAAACTAAAGAGGCTCTTATGTGTGTGTTGCTCTTCTTTGCTGCTGTGGAACTTGGGAATTTTCAAACCCTCTTAATTTTCCCTTATACCGTGGGCCCAAGTTAGTAAAAGGGGCTCCTGCCGAATTGCACTTTACCCTTGAGCTAGTTGCCCAGGTCTTCTGTTTCCTCATTAGGGGAAACAGCGATAACATTGGTCCACCTCAAAGATAGGCTCCACCTCAAGGATGGGCGGGTTAAGTCCATTCTCCGGAGGTAGTGGTTGGGGGGATGGATTTTAATTCTTAGTGATGAAGTGAAATCTTAATGAAAAGAGACTTTCGGTAGTAAAGTCTCTCTTCCAGTATTAAGTATGTGTGTGTGATTTTTTTAAAGCGACTAATGCTTGAGGCAATTATAGGAGCATAAAGAACTCTACAGATATTTCCTGTGCTGTCTAATGCTTACTACTTTGTTGGTGCCTAATCATAGTGAAGTTTGATGTGGCAGCAAAGCAAAGGTCTCCCTCCCCTCTAATAAAGTAGCTCAGTAAAAGAGGGGATTAAAGCTTATTTGTTATAATCCTTAACACCACCAAACCTCCGCTTTAATAATACAAGTTTATTGTCTCTAGTGGTTCACTGGTGCTTTACCGAAGGTGGCTAGTTTGCAGACAGTTATTGAAGTTTCCACTTTTAATGGGCATGTGTGGAGGGGCCGTGTTCCTTAGGGTAGGCCACTCTCCCTGTTAGAGTCCCCATTCCTTCAACTACAATCAGGGCTGAGCTGGATGATTCTAGGGCCTCCTCTGGCTTCAAAAATTCTGAGCGGTCCTTGTTAAAGTTACAGGTCTTCAATAATTCGAAAAGTGCTTTGCACCTAATTCATTTGTCTAGGAATTTGGGGGAAAGGGGTATTTGAAATCATTAGTTACGGGCAAAATTTGTAATCTATATGTAGGGCTTACTCATTTCTAAAGAATTGCAGTAAGTTCAGTGGAAGGGCTACCAGGTGAGCGTTCTGTCTTTGCCTCAGAGGGTAGCTTAATATCTTACGGTTTCTCAAGGTCGTCTGTGTGGGCATTAATTTTCCCCAGACAGAAGAGTTGATGTGGCATAGGCTTAATTAGCCCAAACCTATGTTGACTTGGAAGTTGCTTTTTTTGGCAATCCTCGCTTGTTTTAGCTTTGAAACCGAGGGACAAAAAGCAAAATGGGTAAAGCTGAAATTTTAGCTGAAGGAAATAGTCCAGCTTTCTTTACTTTAGTAACAGGACACTGAAGCCCAGGAAGAAGTGACTTGCTCGAGGTGTTGAGAAATAATCAGGGACCAGTATGGTGAGTGTCACGCTAGACGTCTTGGAAGCAGGGAGCAGGCCGCGGGACTCTGGTTTCTGGTTGGGGTGTCAGGGGAAGGGGCCGGAGGGGGGTCAAGGCCGGCGAGAAGTCCAAAGGGGCTTGAGAAGGGTCTCTATTAGGTGGAGAGCTTTTGCAAAAAGGCAAAGGAAAGAAGAGGTCAGATCAAGGCTCCTCCGAAGACCCACACTGGGTTCAGAATATCTGCTGTGGGGGAGAGGGGGTAGGTTAGGACCAGGTCTTGGAGCCTCGTGCTGAATAGAAAGGGAAGTCGTTTAAGAGTTCTAAGCAGAGAATTGACTTAAGCCAAGTGTGCCCATTCAATAAGATCACTCTGCCAGCAATGTGGAGGCTGGCTCGTCGAGCACTGGGCCTGCAGCCAGCTAGGAGGCTAGTCTACAGATGGGACATGAGGATTCGAATCTGGACACCAGTCACAGGATAGACGGAGAGGCAGCTTCCTCGTCCAAGTACAGGGATACATTTAATACAATTCCAACCAAAATTTTGAAGGGAGG